AGCGGCTGCTTTCGTTTCGCCCTGTCGGAGAGGGACTGCGAGAAGCGCCGTGCGTTGGTCTGGTGTACGTTTTAAAGCCCTGGAGGTCCTCAGTGTTACCTGTTTCCTTATTCTAGCTGTAACGTTTGAACTCTAGTATGTACTAAACCGGTAGGAACCAATTTAATTGCTGCATAGGATTATGCTTTGTAACATAAATTTGGACGTTTTGCTTGTTTATTATGCAAATATAGATACTGCCCTTCAAAGTAGAGCTTTGACAGATGGATGCTTTCTGTGCTTGAATGTCAGCCAGTATGCCTTTTTAGCAACGCATCCAGCCTTTGGCAACGTCTGTATATTATGAAACTAAAGTATACTAGGAAACTACCCCAAAAAATTGCATCCTGCAAATACTGCTAGTTTTTAATGTATTTTTATATATATGTATATACACATATATATTTGAAATTTCTCTCACTTATGTGTTTGATCTTTGTGACACTTCTTGTGGTTATGTAAATGAAGAGGTGTTTTTATGCAGTTCTCTGAGGATTCAGGTACTTAAAACGGAACAGGCATTACATTTCACATGAGCTGAGCACAAACCATGTTGGAAACTTGATGTCTGCATTACAGATGGGAAAGAATTTTGTAACTTGTTCCACGTTTCCGCAGAAAATTTCATATAGTATACATTAAGCTTCACTGTTTTACTGTGCGAAGTGGATTGTGTGCAAGGAACTTGTGAATTTTTTGCTCTCTGCCTCAGAAATGTCCATAGAACCTTGCCTCCCTTTCTCCTGCCCCCCTCCCACCCCATGAAAAAAGCATGACATTTGTAGGTGGTTTACAGACTAAAGAAATTCGCTCTGTAGAACAACTTTTAATGATAAACATGTCCTTTGTATCTCTAACTGACTTGTCTTCTGTAAAATAACGCTTTAGATACAGAAACTAAAAAAGCAAAAACTGAAGAAGATGGATCTGTGGAGGTAGAAGATGAAGATAAGCAGGATTCTGGAGAGAAGGAAGTGGAAGAGGAGGAAGGGGAGGAGGAAGAAGTGCCCAGTTTACCACGGGGTGTAACAGGTATCTTGTGTCCTCTTTTTCGTACGTGTGCAAAAAGCCAAGATCTAACGCTTTCTTCCAGAGCAAGTTGCAGTTTTCAGATTAGCTGTATAAGTCAGGTGTTTGAATATAGTGACATGACACTGGCAACTCCACAGCTATTACTCAGTTACTGTTCTTTGAAATTTGCATTATATACACACTCCTATTAGTCTTAAAATTACTAGTGAAAATCTGTTTTAAAACATACGTACACACATATGTTTAACTGTAGAGGAAAAAGTCAATGAAGAGCAAGATGGAGGTGTATGACGCACAAGTTTGGCAGGAGAAGCAGTGCATTCATGTTCTTTTTTAACAGCCCTGCGTAGTATTCTTAGGAACACATTAATACAGAGTATTTTGTCCATGTCTTAAGATTTTATGGTAGAAAGGAATAAGAAAAAGTCCTTTGCTTTGATTTTTTTTTCATCTAGGTCAATTTTAACTGGGTAATCTCAGAGGACAGATGGAATTGAAGAAATAAGTTTGAATATTTTTTTATTCCCCCCGTCACTTCAGGTGCTTTTGAAGACAATTCTTTTACTTCCCTGGCTGGTGTTGTCAGTGAGAATACATTGAAAGGCATAAATGACATGGGTTTTACACACATGACCGAAATTCAGCATAAAAGTATTAAGCCGCTTCTGGAAGGCAGGTAAGAAATAATGTCTTTTTAATCCCTATATTGACCCCAAATGTTGTGTAAATTTTGCTAGCAAGCTAAATACATGAAATGTGGCTTTCTGCAGCTAAACTGCTTTTTTTAAAAGATGTTCTCATATGTTTTATATATTTTGTATATAGACATTAATACAAGTTAACAAAGTATATCTGTGAACAAATACTTACAGTAATCTCATGGAAACTGCTTTGGCTTTGAAAGCAGGGAAGTCTCTTTTCACTAGTCTTGTTGTCAGTGTGTCTCAAAGACACTGTCTCACACTGTCACTAGAGACATAGTGACCAACTGCTGTGGACTGCATCTGCCACCAAGCTCTTAATACTAACTCTACTGGTTTCCTTTAAGCCATGTTATGTTTTTACATTGTCAGCGTTGTTCAGAATAGGATTGTTCTTTTCTCTGTACAATCAATTAAAGGCTTCTTTTTCTAACTTTGCTGCATACAGGGATATTTTAGCAGCTGCAAAAACAGGCAGTGGCAAAACACTTGCGTTCCTTATTCCTGCAGTAGAGCTCATCTACAAGCTAAAATTCATGCCTAGAAATGGTAAGGCTCTTCATTTCACAGTTGAATTTTACTGTGGCGCAGCCATTTAGGGACATGGCTAGGAGAGGGATTGGATGAGTTGTAACTTATTCCTGTCTGATTGATGTATTTTTTAGGAACGGGTGTTATTATTCTTTCTCCTACTCGAGAGCTTGCTATGCAAACCTACGGAGTTCTTAAAGAACTTATGAATCATCATGTTCACACCTATGGTCTGATAATGGGGGGCAGTAACAGATCAGCAGAAGCACAGAAACTTGGGAATGGAATCAACGTCATTGTAGCAACACCAGGAAGACTGCTGGATCATATGCAGGTAGATAAAATATTGATGTCTAATCTGCGTTATTAAAACTTAAAGAACTCCTGTCGCTGTCTGGCTCTGAATTTGTTAAATCTTCTAGAACACTCCAGGTTTCATGTATAAGAACTTGCAATGTTTGGTAATTGATGAGGCGGATCGTATCTTGGAGGTTGGATTTGAAGAAGAAATGAAACAGATCATAAAACTTCTACCAAGTAAGAAAAAAAAAAAAATCTGTCTTTCCTGGAAATCACTTGACTAACATTATGTCTTCTTTATGACTCAATTATTATACGAGAAGTCATTAATTTTTATACTTCTGTAAATGCACTTCAGAGTGATTGTCTTACTCTGTCCTTTTTTTCTCATAGTTAGTATATATTACTTTATTTAACATCATTTATCTGAAGGACAGCGTTTTCATATGCACTTTAGGGATATAATTCTGTTCATATAAGATCCTTTTAGTTTAATATTTACATTCTCTCATTCATCTTCCTCTGCCCGTTTATTTCCTACAATTCATTATTTCCTAATACAGCTTAAATATAAGGAAAAAGGTCTTCTGACTTGCAGTTTGAATTTTCTTCATACTTCCAAGAACAGTATCTTAAGGAAGTTTAAGTATTTACCTTAAAATTTTCTTTTCCTAATTTTTCATTTAGTTATTCCTTGTAATTGATGTATTAAACACATCCTCAGAGTCAACAAGGCTCTACATTTAACTTTCAAAATGCAGGGAAAAAACCTCCATGGAAATATATAAGAAAGTGTATAAAAAATCAGTGATAAATATTTTGAGGTTCCACATCTTAAATATTAAAATTTGGATTCTTCACGTCCTGTGAAGAATGGTAATAAACAGTGCTAAAAGTGGGAAGGGAAGGAAGAGTGGGAAAATTACATGTTCTTCATGAAGTGGAAAATGATAGATAAAAGAAATTTTTTCTGTGCATGAGTTTAATTTGGTTTTGTCCTTTAGGAAGGAAATTATATTTTAAAACAGACACTTCAAAATAGAAAAAAAAGAAAATTCAAAAATGGTGGCCCAGTTGTTCGGCAAGAACAATTGCTACTGTTCTTGCAGTTGTGAAATGGAACAAGCTAAGTCTGCATTTTCCATGTACTCCTATAACAAGAAAATGTTACAGGATCAGGATGTATATTTGAGCTGAGAGATGACAGGCAGGCAGGAGATTTCCTACACCTGCTCTAAGACCATTGAAGTCACTGAGGCTCAGTACAGACATATTGCCATGTGACTAAATAGCACGCACAAATGTGTATGTTCTAGACTGATTTTGCAAGACAAACAGTAACAATGCACTTCAGTTTTGGTAAATTTTTTCTTGCACAATCTCTAGCATAATTCTTTTTTTCTTTTTTTTTTTTAAACAAAAATTTTAATATTCATGGGAATTAAATCAGTTTATAGTTAGAATTACAAGGTCAGTATTTAAATCATTGTTTTGTGTCTAAATTAGGGTGCAAATGATTATTAACATTTTCAGAAAGAATATTGTGTTTTGATAGTTGTTAGGATTTTCGGGGTGGGGGCAGCCTAAGTAAACATCCTGTACGATCCATAATACAGCTACACCTGTCTTTGTCAGTAGCAGTATGTGAATTAGAATTTAATTGAAAAAAGTAGAAGACTTGCTCAGGTAAGTTTGCAGCTAGAGACTTTATGGACTTGCTATTTGAATTCTCCTTTAAAAAATGAGGCTGTCTTTCTAAATAAGTATTTTTTCAGAGCGCAGACAGACGATGCTTTTCTCTGCTACACAAACCAGAAAGGTTGAAGATCTGGCAAAGATCTCTCTGAAGAAAGAGCCACTATATGTTGGGGTTGATGATAACAAGGAGACGGCAACAGTAGATGGTCTTGAACAGGTAAACCACAAATGTTATTAAAAGGGGTGTGATCTGTCAACATACCAAGTCCTATGTGTTCTTAACTGGGTTGTACAAACACTGTCTTAAAGGGTGTTTACCATCCTAGTGTGCAAAAGCTATCAGTTGCCTAAAGGGCTTTATTCAGTCTGCTAACTATAGTAAGTTATATGCATCTAGTCAATGTTTGCACGACAGATGATATAAAACCTCATGCCCCTGTACTCGGCACTGGTGAGGCTGCACCTTGAATACTGTGTTCAGTTTTGGGCCCCTCACTACAAGAAGGACATGGAGGTGCTGGAGCGTGTCCAGAGAAGGGCAACGAAGCTGGTGAAGGGTCTAGAGAACAAGTCTTATGAGGAGCGGCTGAGGAAACTGGGGCTGTTTAGCCTGGAGAAGAGGAGGCTGAGGGGAAACCACATCGCGCTCTACAACTACCTGAAAGGAGGTTGTAGCGAGGTGGAGGTTGGTCTCTTCTGCCAAGTAACTAGTGATAGGACGAGAGGAAATGGCCTCAAGTTGCGCCAAGGGAAGTTTAGATTGGACATGAGGAAAAACTTCTTCACTGAAAGAGTGGTCAGGCCTTGGAACAGGCTGCCCAGGGAAGCGGTGGAGTCACCATCCCTGGAAGTATTTAAAAGACGCGTAGATGAGGCGCTTAGGGACATCGGTTAGTGGGCATGGTGGTGTTGGGTTAACGGTTGGACTTGATGATCTTAGAGGTCTTTTCCAACCTTAATGATTCTATGATTGTATGATTAAATAGTAATATAGTTACCTACACTTGTCTATTCCTATCTATATTACATACCTAAGCTCTAGTTGTCTAACTGTATTTTCCACGTTACTGACTAGAGATATATATACTTCAGATATATTTCATTGTTGCTGCTTCAGATAATAGCTAAATGGAGTTGCACAGCAGTTTCTGTGTTTGTGCAGTTGACATGATGAGTGTTGTTATAAAATTACCAGTAGCTATGTATTACCTTAAAAGAGTAAATCAGTAGCAAGAATTCCATAAAATAAAATTCTTGAAATCATAAAAAACGTTAAGAACCCTATGCAGTTTTTTCACACCTAATGTCAGTAATTCAGAATTCTTGAAGTGAATTTTTATTGTATAAACTAATTACTTTTCACTGAACTTACATTAGTTTGGAGAATTAATTAAAAATTACTTCTTCACATTTCAAGTTAGTACAATAAGTTTCTTGCCAAGTTCGTCATCTTTAGGAGTTTCATATACCAAGGTGAGCGACAGACAATAAATCGAATGGTTTGGCCCAATATAGCTGGAAGAATTAACTATTTGGCATATTTGTTTCACAACATAACACTTCCCTGATTTAATTGTATTACTGAAACAAAAGTTTGTTCCATACTACTTTATTTAACAATATTTTTTAAATTTCTAGGGGTATGTAGTGTGTCCATCTGAAAAAAGATTCCTTTTGCTCTTCACATTCCTCAAGAAGAACCGGAAGAAGAAACTAATGGTATTTTTTTCTTCATGTATGTCAGTGAAGTACCACTATGAATTACTCAATTACATTGATCTGCCTGTTTTGGCCATTCATGTAAGTATTTTCTTCATTGATGAATTAATCTGATAATACCTGTAAGTTGTTACTGACCTTGCATTTGCTTTGTTTATTTCAGTCCAGTTTCTAATAAACAGATACCCTGCTCACAAAAATGATGATGATCTTGCTTAGTCTGTAGAGGAAGGAGAGAAAGCAAGGCGATGTAATAACAACACTTCAACGTTGTTAATCTTGCTATTTTCCAAACCAGGATTGAACACTGATATTAATTTAAGCTCTGTGTGTAGAAAGCTTTCTCTTTTCTTCCAAGGGGTTGCCTTTCATAAGCACTAAAACTTAATTTGTGGAGCAAAGCCACTGTCAGAGGAATCCAAACACTCTGCTCCCTGGAGTGTTGGGTGCTTTTTCTAAGGCCAGGGTAATGTTTGGTTTTAGTATGCCAATTCTTAGCAGTATTTTAAATTTTTATCAAAACCACAAAATGCATAGTTCAGGAGAAAGAATTGACTGAAAGTTTATGAAATAGTTATAACTGACCACAAATGTCCTTTTTTATTTTGTTCTTTTGGGGATTTTTTTTCCTATCCTTTGATAGAACTGTTACAAGTTTGGTTTTGGTTTTGGTTTTTTTTTTTTTTTAAAAACCTGTAATGTATCTTAACATACTGCTAGACTTGCAAATGTCCTTTTTCTGAACTTCAGGCATTTATGCAGCCCTCCTGAAAGGAATGTTTATGCAACCAAATTTTTAATGCTTTGGAAGTTACAGTGGAACCTCTGAGAGATACCATTTCATGTAGCCCTGTGCTGTTTACTGTGGTAGCATTGTTTCTTCACTGTGAAATAGTCCTGCTTGGTCTGTCCAAGTCCATAACATGGAAAGATCCCTCAAATTATTTTATATTTTGGCAGTGATATGATATGTGAAATGGGAAATTAGATTTAAGCTTACAAGTTGGCAGATGCTTTTTTTTTTTTTTTTAGTTGATATTTCATCCTTAATGTGTTTGTTTCCTTTTAGGGCAAGCAGAAACAAACCAAACGTACTACGACATTTTTCCAGTTCTGTAATGCAGAATCTGGAATACTGTTGTGCACCGATGTAGCTGCCAGAGGATTGGATATTCCTGAAGTTGACTGGATTGTCCAGTATGACCCTCCAGATGATCCAAAAGTAAGTTAAGGAAATAGAGAAACTTCACAGCAACAAATCAAATCCTAGCTACAAATGTAGTTGCAGAGAAAAGCTGAAACTGCTGCTTGACAGAGGTCAGGATTCAGCCATGTTCATATCTAGCTGCTGATTTCTTCCACTTGCCTTCACCAGCTCCTAGGAAATGCTGCACCTAGCTGAGACCTTCATTACCTTTTTAAGAGTTGCTTTTTAAAACGTTATTCTTTATGCTGTTAAATTAATTTAAAATCTAATCAGCTAAACAACAAAACACTTCTCGGGAGGAGTATGAGTTTATATATGCATCCCTGAGTCTCCTAACAGCTTTTCCAATGGAAATTTGATTTTTATTTAAAAGTCAGTATTCTTATATAAGTAAATGTCCAGTGTAAACAAGTGAAACTCAAAAAACTCAGAATTTTTGACAAATACACAGAGCATATATACCAAAAGCAAAGTTTAATTTTCAGTTAAAGCAGGCTAAGATTTTTTTCTTCAGTCAAAGGTAAAATACTTTTAGTGAGGGGTTCTGTCTCAGCCTAATTATGCTTTGCATCCTCAGCACTTGGCTTCCCTCATCCATGTGTCAGTGCTAAGAAAAAGTCTTAAAAAATAATGCATGATGCATTACACTATATTAATGTTAAGTTTGGGTTTTTTTTGTGAAACTATTTGATTATTACATGTTTGAAAGACTGATTGGACTTGCTGTTTCTTCTTCTTTCCAAAAGGAATATATTCATCGTGTTGGTAGAACTGCCAGAGGCATAAATGGTAGAGGACACGCTCTGCTCATTTTACGACCAGAAGAACTGGGCTTTCTTCGTTACCTGAAGCAAGCCAGGGTAAACTTATGTCTAGATTTTTTTTTTTATTATTATTTTTACTGTGCAGCAGTTTTTTAAAGGCAAAAGCTGTATTGATTAATCAAACACTTAATTTTTTAAGCAAAAAACATTCTGTTGCTTAGAAAATATTTAACTGAACATCTGACTTTAAAGTCAGTAGCACAAAGGTAAATATTGAGTGTATTTATAGTTGCTTTGCAACTGTGCAACCTGTGTTATTAAAAAATAAATCAATTTCCTATGACCTCCCTGTGGAAGGCTACTGGGAGTTTGACAATCCAGAGGAAACTAAAACCTGGATGTTGCTTGTGCAGTTTTTATTTTTTCTATTCAAAGTCAATTGCATTTTGTTCGATTCTAAAAGAAGCGTAGCCTTCTTCTAAATGTAATCATTTTAACATGCTAGAACTGCAGATAGTTTCTTGGTTGCTCTCCTTATGGGCTTGTTTACAGAGTTTTGCCACTTGTAACTGAAGTGATACAGCTTCTAAAGCAAAAACTGAAGTGGTAAAAGTGTCATACTGAGCATCTTATTACTCTAGCTTAAAGGAAGTGATAATACTGGCATATTGATATAAAGGCATTTTACAGATATAGCTGTGGTATTAAAAAAAATCTCTGTTATGTAGCAGGTCTCTTTCTATTTGTTTTAGGTCTTAAACACATTCACTATTTACACAGTATAAATAATTATTGTATTTTATTTCTTTTTTTTTTTAAGGTTCCACTAAGTGAATTTGAATTTTCTTGGTCAAAAATTTCAGACATCCAGTCTCAGGTATGACATGACTTCATACTACAGCTACTCTGAATATCTGTACAATAATTTACATGGAGGATGTTAGTCTGTAATGACTGCAGTTTAAAAATACGTATGCTTGTTTGGAAAAGTTCCTGTAGATGAGTACTGTGCAGTAAATTCTCCTGCCATATTGTCCCTTAATGACAGTAAAGCGATAAAATGTTCAGAAATTAAAGATGAATTTTAATATCTAGTACTAAATTGTCATCATTATATGGCACGAATTTGGTTGTAAGAATTATTTTTTTGCATTACATCACAAAACCACAGTGATGTAAACCTGCTTGCAGCTTTTGAACAGAATGTTCTTGTCTAGCACAGCAAACAGGGTTTTGGTAGCTTTTATTGAGTAGTTACATATGTTCAGATTAATTGCGAGTAACATATGTCTTATAAGATGATTTACTTGGACTTCAGTGCGCAGAAAGAGATCCAATACGAACACTTAAAAATGTTAGTATATACTCCAGGTGTATTTTTAACTAGCTGGTGTTAATAAAGCCCAGCATCAGCTAAACCTGTTTTGTGCTCCAGTGCTACAAAATAGCCATGGAGCACAAAGTTGAATAAAATAGCATAGATAGTTCTATAGATCTGAATTTTTATTGTTGTTTGGTTCTGTGAATCATTCTTTTGATAAGAGCTCTGTAAAGCTTCTTTGCAGTAACTTAAATTTGAAATAGCAAGTACAAGAAGCAGTGAAGACAGTCCTTACAGAAAGAGGTACATAGTTAAGAATAATTAGGAAGTAATGATGTCTTATGTAACTTATTTTCGTATGCTGAATTAATGTATGTTAAACATCAAATGAGACACTTGGATCTAAAGAGTATTGGGAACTTAGCCTGCAACAAATAAAATGTCTCAGTCTACACTAGTGCATCTGCATTTTTGTCTTAGAATTAATACTGCTTATTTTACAATGCATTTGCACCATAATAGATAATACTATGTATAGAATTACATGGTATGGTACAGTATAGATGTCTGACTTAAAAGTATACTATCATTGTCCATTAATTCTCAGTACACATAGTTTCATGGTGTGGCTGCAGTTGTATACCCCTTCTTGATTAACTTGTTTGGGACAACCCAATTTAATATTTCTGTAAATTTTCATATTGCTGAGGCTTTGCCTGTAATTCAGCTTCAGGATTTTTTGTCCCTCTATTTGATTATAAAAGCACTCTGATATATGTATGTGCACTCTACAGTCACAGGGCAATTTTGCTGAAGAGAATAGTGAGTGTCACTGCAACTCACACAATAAACAATTTGCTTGAATATAATTTATACACTTGTTACAGCTATAATTGGATATGTTGTTTGGCTTTGTTTTTTCTTCCCCTCACCAGCTGGAGAAACTGATTGAGAAGAACTACTTCCTTCACAAGTCCGCCCAGGAAGCATACAAAGCTTACATCAGAGCTTATGACTCCCATTCTCTGAAGCAGATCTATAATGTCAATAACTTGGATCTTCCCAAAGTCAGCCTTTCATTTGGTTTTAAAGTTCCTCCGTTTGTTGACCTCAGTATCCTTTTACTGCAGTGTTTCAAAGCTGAATTTCTGCTTTATACATGTCAAATGCAACTTAGTGAAGTTCCTATGCCACTTTAAATTCTGATTTTTTTTTTTTTTTTTTTAATTTTTGCTATTAATCACATAAATGCATCATGCTCCAACAATGGTTTATCAAAGAAAATGTTAAATTGCAATTTTTGCAGTTTTAATATTTGCTTACAAACTCTATGTTTTAGTGCATGTACGTGCTTCAGTTGCTTCAGGGTAGCAGATACTGGAATATTGCATACATGTTCTAGAGTATTGTTCTCCTCCATGCAGAATTATTTTCATTGAAAGGTACATGCTTAAGTTTAATAATCATGGAATATTGAAATAGAGGGGCAAGAGCATGAAATAGAAGACTATATCTAGATTACTGTCAAACCTGCCAGTGGATGGAATTTGAAGCAGTAGTACTTTGTCCAACTTAGTTGGACAACTGGAGGAATAAAAGCGTTATTTAGAACCACAGGCACAAAGTTCTCGTTTTGTCTGTAGTTAGGCAGCTCAACTTTTTGTATAATGCTGTTATTTTTTTCTCACATTAATAACTCTTACAATACCTAAAAAAAAGCATTTCCAATTATTCCTTTTTAAGTTCTTTAACCAATAAAATTTCAGATGTGAACAGCAACCATGGCAGAAGACTACAGAAAAGAGGTGGAGGTGGTGGATTTGGTTACCAGAAATCGAAGAACGTCCACAAAGCTAAAATCTTCAAACACATTAGCAAGAAATCAGACAGTCGGCAGTTTTCTCGTTAATCATACATTCATTAAAATGGCTTGTGGCATTGGAGTAGAGGACCTTGATCAAAACCATCTGACAGTTACTTCCAATTTAAACTGCTCTATTCACATTTTTAGAGGTCTTTATGATTTTGTTTCTGGGAACATCTTTTATCTTTCAGTTCATGAAGACTCTTTGGAAGGGAGACTAAAGATAGAAAGGGAGAATATGGCCAGCTAATTTTGCCATGCTTGTTGTAAGGAAGAAGATAGTTCAATATAATTATCTTAAGTCAATACTACAGAGTTTTTTATGAAAGAAAGAAAAAATACTTTCAGGTTTTGTAGAGAAATTTGCTTTACACTTACCATTTTTTCTATGCACACCTCTGAAAATTGTTGGAGTAAACGCAAGGACAGATTACAGTGTGAAATTGAAAAAAAATTTTGCTCACAGGAATCATAGCAAGGGTGTTTAGTGCTATAGAACTCTGCTTTGTCCATCAAATATGCTGAGAATATAGGAAGATTTCTTTAGAACAGAACATACTGATCAGTAATTAAGGCTGTATGAGCTTGTGATTAATTTCAGTCATGGTATTTGTATAGCAGGTACAGTGTCCAAGATAAAAAAAAAAATTCTCTTATACCACATCTGGGACATGTTTAATGCTGTTTCTTTTAATGTTGTGATAAAATGGTAACATTCTAGTGAAATGTTTGGTTTTCCTTCATGTTCTCTTTAAATCTGAATTTATCCATCTGGTAATGTCTAATGTAGTCTCCTATGAATATGCAAAGAAATTAAGAAAAGCAGATTACATAAATTGAAGCAATCAGCCCAGATAATGTTTTTTAAAATGCTCCGAAACCTTGATGCAGTGAGAATTTTTTGCAGTTGTAATTTACAAAAGTGAATTGCTTTTTAGTCTTAGTTTATCATAACAGTGATAGGCAGAGTCAAAAATACTACCACAGATTTGACTCAGTAGGGGAAAAAGTGAAATGGCGTATAAATATACTAGAAGGATTTTTGAGGGAAAAATGTAAAAGACTGAAATGGAAGAGGGTGGAATGCACATTGCAAACAGAACAAACATGGAGACTAAGTAAAAAAAGAATACCCAAGTTGGGTAAAAGTAGAGTAATTATCATATGTCTTATTTTCATATTTCTACCATTATAGAAGTAGATAACTATTCTTACAAGGCTACAACGGTAGTGGGCAATAGTATTTCAAAAATGTACATCCGTCAATGCAGGGAAAGACTAAAATGTCACAGAATCCAGAAATCTGGGGCCCGTGTGATTGCATCTAAAATGTAACCCAGGACCAATTATGAATACATGGACTGTTATTCCTTAGGTCTTTTGAAGTAGAATGTCAGATTTAAAACTATGATATGTGCATTGAAGTATTGCAGAAAAACATTGGCAAACTTTCTTTTCACCCTTAGAGAAACGAGATCATTTTTTGGGGAAAACAGTATGACCATTCTGTTGCTAGTGCTTCCACCATTCAGAACTGAGAGTGGTGCCTTTTTTTCTCTTTTTTGTGAAACAGCTGACTTTAGCCCTAATGGACTTTCAAGACTTTTAATTAACATTGGTCAGATACTAAGAACTTCGAATATGTCAAAATTTAAGTAAATTAATTTAGTTACTAGGATTTGAATGTTTCATGCTTCCAGGGTTGCAATGAAAAGGCAAAATCTGCTCTGAAGGGTAAGCAATACTAGGTACATGATGCCTGGCTCATTGAGTTCTAATCTTTGATTCTGGGTTTGCTTACATATTTATAAAAGATGTTAAAATAGTTCTGTCTGTTTATTAGTAACACGTTCTCAAAGAATTATCTTTGAGATCTACAGCATCATACAGTTGAAGGGTTCTGTCTACACCTGCAAGCTGTGCAGTAACAGTATAGAAATTAACTTAAATTATAGTGAAATTGACTGAGGGACTCATTAGAGGAACTGCAAAATTAGTTACTTGGGAAGAGATGTAAGCAAAGCTGCAATAAACCACCGAAAAGATCAGAGTTATGTGGGCAGAAGCAGCGTGAATGAAGTAGTGTGGAATATTCATTTGGAACAGGAAAAAAGCTGAGATGATGGGCACAGTCAGTGACCACCTGTCTGACCATGTGCTGCATAGCCAGAACTGGTTGGGCTTAAAAGCGCATCAGAATTCTTGCCACTTCTCTATGTAGGCAAAAATCTGCTTCACAGAGAACTGCTTTTTTCTGTCAGTCGTCATTCTGCTTTCCCAGCAGCTAGAAACCTCCAGCTCCACCTGATTTTTTCTTTGGAAGAGTTGAGGCACTGTCAATTCTAAAGTCTAACATGAGGACAACAGAAAAATAGGGGTTTGGCATGAGTCTGCACAACTCCTCCCTGGTTTTTTTTGGTTTGCATTTTCTTCTATACCCTAATACAAAGAAATCTTTGAAATAATCTCATCTAGGAGCTGAAAAGACTGGATGGTATTGCTCTAGAGTAGTACTAGCTTACCATAAAAAAAAAAAAAGTTAACACTGTTACTTAAACATTATAGATGTATAATGGCTGCACAGTCTGAAGTAACTACATAGTCTGCTATTTCACACTGTAATTTCCCAATTAAGCAGAAGGGAAATTCCTGAGCTGAGACTAAGTGGGTATTGAAAGTGGGGCTTCAGCTTCCTGTCTTGTGCAGATGCAGTTACCTTTCTCTTTGTTCATGGAATCATTAATGAAAAATAGTTTCTGGTAAAATATCTGTGTGTATCAGGCAGCAGCTATTCTACTATGGTATTGCAAGAAGTTTAAAAGATTGTCAAACTGATTGGAAATCTAACGTTTCCTTTGCAACTTACCCTGTTATCAATCTTGTGAGCAGTTAATAGACCTCAGCCATCAGACTCTCAAGGCTTGTCTCATAACAGTGACTGATAGGTTGGGGACTAATATTGTGTGCCTTGAGAAATTGCCTTCTTTCTCTGAGAACCTTGACAAAGAAATTGGACTCTTTAAACCACTTAAGGGGATGATCAAAACTGTCCTGCTTGAACTGGAAGATTTTTTTGACAGTTCTTGGAACAGGCCCATAAAGGAGAATTCCATTGCCGAGCTACTGCTCATAATCATGAAAAATCTTGTCATGATAGGAGTTTCATATGCCATAACGCTGCCGAGTTATACACAAGCACAAGACTAGTCAGAAAGTGTTGCCATCAAATTTTTCAGGGTGAATGTCACAGGTAGAGGGTACATTTATTGACAGTGTAGAGCAAGAATACTTGAGAACTGGATAAGATATTATCTACTTAGGTCTGCTATAAATAAGTATATATTTTGGCAGTAATTAGCCTTTTTGTTTCATGTATGAGTTGATAACTCAATTTAAGTAAACTACCAAAGCTTTAGATACTCTAATTATTTGCTTTCAAGCCGGTAATCTAAGGCTCAGGGGAAGCAAGCTCTCACAGGAAGGGTAAAAAGGACTATGTGATGTAAAAAAAAAAAAAACACGACATTTGAATAGAGGTCTCCCAATTCCTTCCCACTGTGAAGGAAGGCAGGGTACTGACAGGATACAGCACAGGTCTGCGATTTATGTTTTTAGTTCTACCACTGTCCTGTTTAGGAGATAGTTGTCCAGTTACTTCAACCCCCCAAAACTTACAAGAGATTTTACAGAGATCTAAAAACCTAACAACTAGAAAAGAGCCGGTTACTAGCCCTTAAAAGGTGAGTTGTTTGGTTGTTGGTTTGGTTTGGTTTTTTTCCTTCAAACTAAAATAACAATGCTGAAAGAAGCCTAGAATCAACTAGCTAGGCTTGCAGAATAAAATCTGTCTCTGCTCTTGACTTTTGCTCTACTAGCTTGATTTCCTCAGGATTTTAGCTGCTTGGCTTGACAAGAGAATTCATGCAATTGTTTCCAATGCTTTTTTTTTTTTTTTCTCTGGATTTATAGAAGGTGTTGAGCCATGACAGTAGGAACCCAGCCGCTTGAACTGGAATGCTCTTTGCTTCTAAAAAATTTGCTGGCTTGCATCAAAGTCATAAATACTATAATGTTGCTTGTGTCAAATCTCTTTATTGCACAGCCACGTGGGGAAGAGATTACCTTTTTTTTCTCCTCTTAGCCACCATGATAAACACTTGATACAGAGTTGTAAGAAGAGGTAGAGGAAGGATGCCATTAAGAGAATGGAAGACAAATGGAAAATCGGGGTGCTGTCTGGACACACATTCACTTTGTTAATCAGTGTCATCCAGCTTAAGAACTGCATTCACCTTTCAAAAAAAATCTGAGCGTACTCTATGATAGCAGTCCAACTTCCTAAACACTTTTGTAAGCTACAACACCAAAAAACATAACTGTCCACTATTTTTCCCTTGGTCAGAATGAAAAAAAAGAAAATCATAGACCCTGCAAAATCTTGTATAACAGCTCCAAAACTTCTTCAAAGTGCTTCTCTCTATTTTGGCTGTCATCTGATGACACGTAGCTGTGCAGGGCTTTCTGGGCTCCTTTGTGAGTGGTTGCAATCCCCTATGAATGTTGAGAATCACAGGAATATTAAATGTGTTACTCTGCGTAACTAAAACTAGATGTTCACTCATAGGGGTTGACAGACCATGTGAATTTGGAGGAGCTATTGAGTATTCCTTATAAGCTCTGGATAAGTGTTCTTGATATATTGTTATTTCTTCTAATTAATAAAACCCTTTCTGTACTGGAAGAGAAAACGGACTTGAGTAGCAGATAAGTTCTGCCCGGCACCTTTCTCTAATTGTTATTAGGAAACCTGAGAAGGAATCTATGAAGGTACATAGTAACACTAATACCTACGAAATGTAATTTGCGAACATAAATGTAACCATAAAATGACGTTGCTTAAAAAAAAAAAAAAACATAAAGCAACTTCATTTTTCCATAGAAATTGTGTTCACTGATATCTTTACATTCGTCTCTTAATAGTGGCAGAAGAAAAGTTAGCTAAATGGCTTGTAGTACTAAAAGAGGTAATTCTTTAACACTAGAAA